GTTGGACAACAAACATCAGCGTTAGCTTACCGTGCAACGTCTGGGCAACCGGAGGATCCGGTTTATAACTTTATAACTAACCTTTGCTATTATATATTAAGAGCTAAACATATTCTTGAGCTTGCTAATACTTCTGTACATCACAACTAATTTATTGCATTTTACTATACAAATTATTTGACTTCAAAGACTCCAGTCTTTGAAGTCAAATAAACAATTTTGTTAAGTTATTACTATAAGATGGAACATAAAAAAATAGCTTTTGAACATGAAAATTATAGTTGTAAACAGGACCAACATACTTCAAAATAAATGCCAAAAGTCAACAACTATTTTTTATAAAATACAGGTATAAATAAATATTTTGTTAAAAATCAAATGCTATATAAACCCAGCCGGTAACACTTTATTTGAAGGTGGGTGAATAACACCTGTCATGAACATGAATAAGTCTTCATGAGTATTTATGACTGTTGTCATAAAGTGTCATTTGGTAAATCATGACACTTTTAATACAAAGTTATTGTTGAAAATGTCTTCGTTATGACATCTTGACATTAATCTAGACAAAAATTATTAAAATGTTCAGCTAGTTCCTCTTGAGCTGGTTCAGTTTCATAATATATATATTTTTTCGTTTTCTTTACAGTTTTTGTCTTTTAAGTGCACAAATGATTCCTTGTGCAATAACTTATGCTCTGTAAAAAGTCTACCAGACAGAGAAAATTACCACCACTCAACACTTAAATCTGTTTTTAACACTTTGGAGGCTTTGACTTGTTTCTCTTATATCTCCAACAAGCACTGCTCTTGAAATATGTTCAGACCTCAAAACCACTTCCACCAGTACAGTGTGGCTTTGTGTGCCGCATCACTCACTATAATTGAGTTTTGAAGCCACTTGGAAGAACAGAAAGCTGCTTTTTGCTGCGCTAAAAGAAGAGAAGTCTACATTTGTAGAGGTTTAAACATGACTTTTCCTAACTTGTTTTATTGATTGCCAAACAAACTTGTTAATTTTGTCGACCTGTTAAAATTGAACCTGGACTTATTTTTTTTTCTACGTTTTTGCATGTTATTCTTGTTCTTGTTGTTCCCATTTCTGTTTTATTATGAAAAATGTAGAATTTTTTTAGCCTTGACATTTTGAATTTCCTGCCTTTTATCACCTGTTTAACTTTTGCTATCAATAATTCAAACATTTCGATTTGTTGTTCATAAACTTCTGTACAGTGTAGATAAAATATTTGCATCTCCTGAACTTTTCACCTTTTATTACAACCAACACACAGCAAAATGTTTACAGTAAATTTTATGTGAAAGATCAGCATGTAGTAGTGACATATTGTGAAACTGAAGGAAATTATTTACTAGTTTTCTACTTTTTTGATGAAAGATGAGGTTGTGGAGAAGTCCAAGTCCAGGGTTATGTCATAAAACATTATTCCATGGAAGAATGAGTACTAATCGGATGAAACCAAAACTAATATTTCTAGCCTTTTTCACAGCCACAGTCTTTGATTCCCTAATCTCACCTGCATGTTTAGAAAGCACAAAACATCTGGTTTAAATAAAGTATAAAATCATCTCTTTTAGAGATCTGAAAACTGATGATGAGCTTCAGCTCTTCTCAAAGAAAAGTAGATATTAACCACAACATTTAGATGTGCAAAGCTGGTGGAAACGTATTCCTAGAGAGCCGAAGCTGTAGTTGCTCTGAAGGGTGGTGTCATATTTTGAGTTAGTTTCCAGATTTTTACTGATGAAAACCTTTAGAAAGTATAATTTTTCCCCCACTTTGCAATAACGCTTTACTTCGTGTTGGTTAATCCATAAAATCTACATAAAATGTGCAGAAGTTTGACTGTATAGGGAGAAATCTCAAAGTTGTGAGAACTTTATGCTGCTATTACCTTCTGCTGCTTGTCTTATTTGCATTTAATCCATCCATTCTCTTCAGACCCTGTGTATTTTTGTTTGTGCCCATTTAGGCATGCCATTACTCAAACTGGCACTTTCAATATTGCACACACACAATTATGAATTACAAAACGGCAGATCGAATCGGCTCTTTACGCCTGAGTTTTCCCCAGAATTTCGCTTGGAAGGACATTTATTACTAGACGGCGTGTTTACGACAGACCAACGTCGTAAATCTGCACACTCCTTCCCTACCAGAGGGCCTTCAGCAACAGTTAGTGGTGTGTTTTGAAGACTGCCAAATTGCCTTTCAAAGTGAAAAACTGACTTTACAGTCCCTCTGTTTTATTTCAGGTAACCTCGCGCTGGACGTTCCGCTGCCCCGGCTGTCCTCAGGCCCTTTCACACGACGACTCGCACTTCCACGAGCGCCACAAATGCATCAACTTCTTTGTCAAGGTGTACGGTTACATGCCGCTGCTATACACGCAGTTCAGAGTGGACTCTGTGCTGTTTAAGACTCGTTTGCCCCACGATAAGACAAAGTGCTTCAAATTCATCTAGCCTGGGGGTCGAGCGTCTTCGCAGGCAGCCGGGGGGGGGTGGAGATCGACGGACTGAAACATCCACTGCAGGTAGTGATGAAGACTGACGGCTGGACTGCAGGATAAACATGCAGGAGGAAGCTTTCGGGCTTGGATTTTGTGGAGGTGGATCGAACGTTTAACCTTAACCAGCTGGAAATTCAGAGTGTAGGTTGAGAGAAACCACTGCCGAGAAATGAAACCTTTTCAGCGGACGTCACTTCTTGTTTTGTTTTTTTTTACACGCCTTTTCAATCCTGTTCAATCATTAACCACTAGTTACAGAAGATATTTGCACCTCTTACCTGCCTGCCATGGAAAAGCAGGCAGACCTACAGTGTACAGAAACTCTTCACTCCTCATGGTGGAGCTTCAGAAGTAACAGATGGAATTGTGGCTTCAGCTGAGAGCGATTCAGTTGAAAACTGGTCTTCAAACTCAAGCACTGATGGTCCTACATATTTTATCGGACTCTTCTTTTTTTTTTTTTTTAATAATGTCGTTTAAATGTGTAAATTTAGGTCTAGTGGAAACTTTGAGACCTCCCTGCCTTTTGGGAAATCAAAATGACAATGGCTCAGTCCAATCATGTCTTAGCAGCGTTGCGTCCTCCAGAGGGAATTCACTTTAGCGGTCACCATAATGCCTCAACTGTGTCAATAAAACCAACAATCATGCTGTCCAACTCAAGTCATTTTTAATGAAGTGATATTAACCAAATGGCTGAAAATGATTAAATATCACAAAAATCGACAGTTTCAGTAGAATGTATTATGGATGCAGATGGAGGTCTGTACAACCATAGTCAGAAGTTTATATACACTCATCAGCATAAATCCCATATCAATGGGTAAAAATACATTTCTGTGATTATTAAATGCAATAATTTGGCTGAGCAAGTTTCAATTTATTTTGGATTTTTTTTTTTGTTTGTTTACACATTATACATACACACACATTTTGGGGGGTTTCTGATTAAGTTTATACCTTAACAACCATCAGAATGATCCTCACATAACCCAGGCTGAATGTTTAACCTCTGACCCCAGTAGAATCGGTAAAGTTCAAATAAATTGGTTTGTTCTCCATGTGAAGTGGAGGTTATACATTTTCACTAGAAGGTCTATTCTAATACTAGTTTTGACTTGCCCTGCTAGACCATTCAACTTTATCCTCATCATGTCCATGAGGAGTGTATGTAATTGATGTGAGCTAAAACAGTTTGGAGGTTTTAGTCCTCCGTTTTTCCATTCACTTTGTGAAATACACCAGTGTCACTGGAAACGAACCAGATCAACATTGTTAAACCAGCACAACTGCCCTTGACACTTGGTAGTGTGCTTAGATTTAAAAATCTCCAAATAAACTTCCTGTTATCGTGACAACCCTCGTCTCCACTGACGGTAAAAATCCTCAAGAAGGAATTGGGCTTGTCCATGTGGGCAGCTGCAGATTTCAATCCGGTTTGAATGTGCTGATGTTGGACCGTGCAGTAGTTGTTGTTCAGAACCCTCTCAGTTTGCTGTAGACCATGATGGTGACATTTCAGCATGTTGTGTGCGATTGAGCTTTAGTGGTTCTTGAACGTCCTTCCCAGTTTCCTTTCTTCTGACAGATCGAGTTCTGACCCAAACCGCGAAAACGTGAACATAGTTGAGTGTTTCAATGGTACAATAATACCAAACCAGATCAAACATGGCGTTATTTTTCCTGCCCTACAGTCTTTCGTTTGATTTTAGTTTTTTTTTTTTTTTTTTTTTGGCATTTATAAGTATGGAGAAATAATTTTCATCCCATACTTTAATCTCTATACTATTGTCTACTGACATGTTCTTTCTTCTGCCTTCAGTTCCCAGTTTGTTTTACATTCACTTCCTTTCCTTGTCCATTGTCTCTTGCTCCCTCACTTCCTTGAGCACTTTATTTCCTTCCTTGAGTGAAATTTTTCTCGTTATTCTTTCCTGGTGGAAAAGTTTAAACTCTCACGTAGGAACTGTGTAGGAACCATTACTATTGATGTGAATATAGTGCTTTAAGCTGCTTCAGTGAGGGAAATCAAACCAATTATAAAATAATCTCTATTAATTCTGCTAAGAAGAGTTGTCCAATATTCAGCCAGGATCTTGTCAGAAACTTTGGAGTTGTAAATATAGATATTTAAGCGAAACTTATGCGGCAATTTTTTTATGCATTGCTGAAGTTGCAAGAAAAAAAAACTGTTCAAATGCATCAATGTCCATCATGTCCATGAGGAGTGTATGTAAACTTCTGACTAGAACCATACACTTGGGTCATTAAATCTGAAACTACAGGCAACAGTTTTTCTTCCTCTGTCAAATTGTGACAAATTTCCCTCCTACTAGCACATTCAGATCCTGCTAATTAATTTTGTTTTATCTCACGGAGGAGCAAGGGTAATGATCTGAGAGAAAAAATGGTCCAAAACAACAACTCGTTGATCTGGCCTCTAAAGATACTTGATGTGCTCCCGTTTTCCTTTGCTACCATCCGTGTGCTTGTACTGAGCTCACAGCATGAGGCCTGTTCCCAGAGTTCGGAAAGCTTGGAATGTCGAATGTCATCACCGTACAGCAAGTCCTGCCTTTGCGGCACAGATCTGGAGCGCATCTCATGTGGATAGTAACTTTTTACATCTGTTCTTTTTACCTTTTGCTTGATGAATGTTTCTTTTTTGTTTGTTTTTGCCAAATGAGTACGATGTCTGCAGCTACACGGCATAAATCTGCAAGGTGCTCACTAAAGGGATGCAGAACGGTACGACCCTCATCAAACCACCGAAGCCTAACCCATCATGTATTATAAATCCAAAGTCTCTCGTTATTTGACTGTCGGTTAATTTTCTGTAATCTTAATATAAAACTCGGAGGAGCAAAAAAAAAAAGAAAATGGAAGCTCAAATTGGTGTTCTTTCCCAGCATTTGTACTCTGTGAGGATGCTTTTATGGAACTTTCACAACATTGTGTATATTTATTAATGATGTTATTAAAAAGGCTGTTTTTAAACTTGATAAGACATGCAATAAAACCATAATGTTGTGGTCGCTTGTTCCTGATCACTCGGATCCCAACCTAAAAGAGACATCCCATTAATGTTGCTGCCAATGAAAGCCTTGTGGTGCCTCTGACTCGAGGGCCAAATGTATGGAATCAGGCCTGTTTTCCTTAGACTAAATTGGAGTCGTTTTTTATTAGACGTGTTGCAAAACGACCAAAAAAAAACAAAACCACATTTCCTTATTCCTCTGCTATTACAAGCAGCCTGGCCCTTGTTCCAGGATATATGTAATTACCTTTCGATTCTGACCAAGTCCTAAGGGCTCAGTTTGGGTCAGTATTTCTCCCTCCGTGTATTCCCCCCCTCCGCCCCCCCTTCAAGCATCAGTGGCACAACTAGTTTTCTGTGGCTTGAAGCAGAATCAATCTAAAAGGCTGCAGTCACCCTGCAAGGTGTAAATATTGATGAAAATATGCGCTCCTTGGTCTGGCTCCAGCTACCTGCACCGCTGCTTGTGCTGTCAGACTGATGACGGCGTCAGACATGCCATTCAAAGGCCAGATGAATGGGAATAAAAACTTGTCTAATAAAAAAAAAAAGTTCTCGACTCATGTCCTCATTTTTATGTCTACTGACGTCTTTTGACTTTCGCAAAGGGAATTCCTACCTCTTGAGTTTTAGTACATTTTGTCACCTTACAGCCACAAACATCTTTTTTTTTTTTTTTTTTTTTTTTGAAACGGACCAACACAAAGCAGCTGTGAACGTAAAACGATTCTCTGGTTTTCAACGTTTTTAACGAGAAATAAATCTGGAAGTTTTTTGTCGTCCATATGTTTTCAGCTCCCTCTGAATAACACAAAAAAAAATTTTTGCTGAGCAGTTTTCAAGCTGTGGGGCACAGATTCTCAATTAGGTTTAGGTCAGTACTTTGTCTCGAGTCACAGCATGTTCATTCGTTTGTAACTTTGGCCATCTGTCCAGAGCTGTTGTCCTGCTGAAAGGGGAATCCTCTCTTCAGTTCCAGATCTTTGCCTCCGCCAATAGGTTTTCTTCCACAGTCGCTCTGTATTTAGTTCCATCTAACTTCCCATCAGTTCTGACTAGTTTGTCTACCTTTCTGGAGGAACAGCGCTCCCACACCATGATGCTGCCACCACGGCTCTTCACTTTGGGCATTAAAAGTCTTTATCTGCCCAGTGCTTTTCTTGGTTTTTAATGATTCTGTTTGTTGAATAATTTTCTGCAGCAAACCCTCTGAACAGCTGGACTGTTTACCAATTAGGAGAATCCTGGATTTTATTTATGGGTGTCGGAGTACAAAACGCAAACCACTTTCTTTTTTCTTCTTTTTTTGCAAAAGCCGTCGGAAACCATTTGTCATTTTTCTCTCCACAATTCTGTGCCGCTTTGTTTTGGACTATCATACGAAACCTGAAATAGATAAATAAAAATTTAATACAAACTGACAGTTTGGGTACAAACACTTTTGCAAACACAGTATGTGACTATTTCAATGAGCAAAATTAACTGAAAACATTTCTTCACAATTGCAAAAAACTTCAGCTGGAAATATTCAAAGGGTCTCAACAGCATATGATAATTGGGATGTGGGCTTGTAAAAGACAAACTGTAAAACATGCAAATAAAGCAGAAGTTGAATTCCCCTAATAATTACCTACTGACACTGAAATTGAGTGTTAACAGTGTCATATTTTTCCCTTAATCCCAGTTCCTATGAAGGCACTGAAGGTTTTACTCAATTTTCCGTGTCTGGTTCAGTATGGAATAAAGTAACTTCAAAACCTAAGTTTTTCTCCAAACTCTTAATCGTTTTCATTTTTAGTCACTCACACATCATTTAAACTGGACCCATGTGTGTTAACATGCCAAATAAAGCACTGACACTTCATTTTATGGGGGGGAAATTTTATCAACAAAACATATCAAACTATTAACAAAAGAACTCAAGTTTAATATGGAATAATCCAGTCCAGATTTCACAATCTCCCTGCGCCATGGACTTTGAAACATGTTTTCTAATCTAGTGAAAATGCCAAAGGAAAAAGAAGTAAGGGGGGGTAGAAACAACAGTGGAATGATTTCATTTTTTACACTCAAGCAATCTCTTTTAATAAAAGAAATAAAAAAAAATGAACCGTTAGTAATTCTGGATGCGTTCTTCGTTAATTTGAAATTAATACCACTGATGAGGTGCGACCGCAGCACGCTTCGACAGAACGAGAGCAGAGCGGGCAGCCCACGCCTCTGAAGCCGAGCCAGCTGGTGGAGGGAAGGGTGTGACTCTGGAGTTTACATTTGTCCTCAGGGAAGATTTTTTTTTATTTCTTTCTAGCTCACAGCTGCTCTCACAGATCAGCATTTTAGCATACAGGTAGAATCTTACACCGCTCCTGCCAAATATTTGTTTAGCCTTTATGAAACATATTTTCAATTAGGTATATATATATATAAAAAAGAATATGATTCTTCTGTCTTTAACTCTGTTGTTTTTTTTTTTCTTTATTCCTCGCTTCAGCTCAGGAAGCACAGCTGAGGTTGCCATCAGCGCTGCCCTCCCAGTTTATTGGGACTGTGCGGTCTTTTGCATACTCCTCCTCGGCCCGGCGTGATGCGCCGTGTTTCTACATGAACGAACATGGCAGAGCTGTCAGAAGGCTGAACGGTGAAACGGGCTCAGTCTGTGTTACACAGGAAGGGAAGCTGTCCTTCAGTGCACACGGCATGCAGAGCTGCGTCCAAATCCCGTGGGAGACTCGGCAAGCGCAGGGAAGAAGTGCACCCTTCCTGCGTCATGTGCATAGTGTTTCAGAGTTATGCAAATGATTTATAAAAACCATGAAAGATAGTTCTCCAAAAATCATTAAAAAAAAAAAAAAACGGAGCAAACCAACTAATTTATCTTGCATAATGCAGTGTGCATGTAAACATATCGTAAAAAGAACAGCTCGTAAGCATAAGTTGCAGCATGTTGCAGGACTCTTGTAACAATAGTCCACTCTTTGCATCTTCATTTGTCAGTGCTGGAGAAATGTCTGGTATGCTGGTGATAGCTGAAGCCCAGAAAAAAATTGGAAGGAGTCTTGCCGGTCCGGGACCAAACTCTTTGGTCCGAGATTCAAAGGCTGAAGCCGTCTGGACGGTGTTGCGTCATGTTGGTCCTGTAAACACTTGGTGAAAATAATCTCTTAATAGAAAACAAATTGTTTTTACTTTTACTTTACAGTGTTTTTTTTTTGTTGTTTTTTTTTTTAACAGTGTGTCGTTCAAAAGGCTGGAGTCGGACGTATGAATCCTTCTCCATGAAATCAGCCCTGTGGCAGGTTACAGGGCAGCCATGCAGTCTGGCAATGAGGACCGGGAAGCAGCGCCCACCCTCACACCTGAATTCACCGCACACAAGAACACTCGTACGCAGAAGGTGTTTCCTGCTCTTCCAGAGCGTTGGATGCTCTTTACAGTTGCTCCATAAATCCTCATAAAGCGTCTCCTAGGTGTCGGTCAGAGTGTGCCAGTGGCAGACCTGCTGCCCCTCTGCCTCCCTCATCTCTGTCCAGTGGGATTGCTGCTCCTCGGTGGTGCTGCTGTGGCCCAAGGAGACCCAGCCCAGCCTCTCCCTGGGCCTCATGCTGCTCCGCCTGCAGAACACGGACACCACCAGCGACACCTCGGACAGCTGGAAGAGCGCCACCTGGAAGACAAACGTCTCCTTGTAGGTGGGGTTGGGCTGGCCGCGGCACACGGCCGTCTTGCGCTTGGACATCTCTTTGCCCTTGGAGTCCAGCATGGTCAGCTTAACGTAGGTGTCTGGAAGAAGAGACGCGCGGGTGATCAGGGATGGAGTGCCATCAAGTGGTTAAAATTAGGCACTGCAACAGACATTTTAATAATGAACATAAAGTACCCTTGGATGTTTTACTCTTTTCTCGATTGCTTTTACAAATCAGTCATCATCAACAGTTTGGCTTCTTTAACCAGAAAATGTACACAAAAAAAAAAAACTCCTTAATGCCAAAGTGAAAATTAGTTTAAAGACAAATTGTTGCCAGTAATCTCTCAATGAGGCAAATAGAGATCAACCGAGAGCTGTTGGTAGTTACAGCATTTAAAATATTATCCTAAACACTCCACTTTTTTTCTTCCTAATTTTGTCAAAAATTTACATTTTTGTATTGTTTACATGTTGTTTTAAGACAAAATAACTGTCCACAACACCGTATAAAAATAACCAATATGTCTTTTGAGATCCATATACTCCGGCTAAACAAAAATAGAATTTGACATTTTTATTTCCCTTTGTCAGATTTACCACTGTCCTTTTAAATAATTTTATATTAATTTCTGTTATTTGTTGTTACACTTGGCTGTGACAATTTCATTTAAACACAATGAGAGTGAAACAGAGCATAAAAAATTTATATATCAATATATATCAGTGACATGCGGTCAGGGGAGGCAGGTGAGGTCATCATGGAAAAATTATATATAATAATAAAATCATTTATACTGCTATTTTCACCCCGTGGTTTGTACTATAAAGCATCTATTTTTTTACTTAGCTTAAGCAATTCTGATTAGTTTTTTCTTAAAAATCGCTGGATTTTCGCATTTTCCCATTCAGATGCTCAGAAGCGAAGCCGGTGAGGCAGCAGCGAGCTGAGCCGCACCTGGGATTGCGCAACCTCTCACCAACTGCACTGGCTGCCGTACTTTGAGAGCATGTTCGTCCTGTCTGTACGCCAGCAATAAAATGGCTAAGAAACATTTAATATATGGAATGATTTTCCATATATTAAATGCAATGAACCTCACCGCACGTCAATGAGATATAAATATATATATATATATATATATATATATATATATATATATAAACTGACATTCTGAACTGCATATCACTACAGTTGAATGAATGATTAGGGGTAGTTTGATTCTTTAAATTAAGTCATTTTTTGTTTGTTTGTTTTCTTTTTTCAGAAGTAATCATTTCAGTCTGAAGAATGCAGATTGACCTGCTGGACCATACCAAAAGTTTTAAACTTCTAGACTCATACATTTATTTAGCCTTACCTCTCATGATATACAGCTGTCCCCCTACGAAGTGTTTCACACAACAAAACAGACCGTCTGAGAGTGGACGCACCCCACGGCACACAGGAGAAAGGAAAGAAGAAAGACGGTAAACTTAGCGAATGTGATGAGAGAGAACTGAGAGTTCTCTCTCAGTTGCAAATTGCATGTCAAACTGACTATTAAGTATTTTTGATCGCTGTATAGAGAAGTAAAATTTGTCAAGATGAATCTCTCTGGGAGTTAAATGCAACTCCTTTCCAAAAGCAGATACGTAGCCTGCAACATCAAAAGAAGTCGCCAATGTTTCATTTCCCAGACTAGTATTTATTTCTGACCAGAGTTGGATTCAGCCATTTCTCTGGCACGTCCCAGAATTCTCCAAGGGGTTAACATTAAATATTTTTGTTCCTTAAATGTGAAAAGTATTCATCCTTTTCCATCTGGAATGTGAAACTTGCTTCCTAGACTGCATCTCTAATGAAGGAATCAATAATTCTGCAGGAGAGAGTTTGACAAATGCAACATCTGTAGCACTTTGTAAAGGACGAGCTGGACCTCACCAAAACTAGAATAAAAATGCTGAGTCAATACCTATTTGTAGTTTTAAATTTTGCGCTGTTGTATTTTACATTTTCAGTGTGATTTGACCTTTTTCTCCTTGTAGCAGCCAGTTTGACAGACAGATATTGTAGCGAAAGAAAAATGAAATTTCAGTAATAGAAAATTCACAGCAAGCTGGAACTAAATTCAAGAGATAAGGGCTTCCACATCAGTACTTTAGTACTTACTGACAGGTTTATCAGAAGCTGTAGTTTTGAAGTGGCTTCCTTGTATAACCTCAGCAGAAAGCTGTCCTGTGGCAGAGTTATAAATGAGACCCAGGAGGATCTCTGGCAGCGATGAGTCTTCGGTGGAGCGGTAGGACAAAGCACCTGCGCTACGAGACACACTTACAAGAGAGCCACAACCCTGGCATGATAGAAAAAAACAACAAAAAAACAAGACAAGTTATGCAACTTCATGTGAAGTCAACTTAAAGGGGGGTAAAATTTCACAAGATGTTCTCACTGTAAGTTCAGAGCCAGGCTCCAGCGTGACGGGCAGAGCGATCTTCCCCTGCAAGTTCAGCTTAGTCAGGTAGAACACCTTCTCTCCCAGGACCTTCTCCTTTTTCATCCGTCGGATGCTGTACAGGCGGAAGCGAACGGCGTAGTCCCCTAGGGCCTCCTGTTCCACCCGGGAAAACTTGAATGTTTCCGTGAAAACGGGACACGGACCCTTCTGCACGCCCGTTTTGGCCCGCTGCTTCTTGGTGGGGAGCAGGACCAGGTGGACCTGCCAGGCGATGTTGCCCGTCTGTTTCAGAGCGGGGATGTCGGTGGCGGCCGTCACCGTGACGGCCAACCACTGCTCAGTAGAATCGTATTCGAAGGCGACGTCCAGCGTGCCGTATTGTGCGATGGGCTCTGGCTCGTAGGCCGAAGGAAGCTGGAGACCAGAACCGTTCTAAAAAACATTAAAAAAAAATACAGAGGGGTTACATTCACATTCTGGTACTGACTGGTAAAGTAAACATTAACTCTTTGCCAATGGTAACCACTTAAATAATAATAATTAAAAAAAATCCTGAGGTTAGGAGTGGGCATTTATCGTATCGTGTATCATGTATTGTGATAAATTTCTTATTGTGATAATAATTTTGATTTATAGCTATCACGTTGATTTCAAGTAATGATGTTTTGTATTGTTGGGATTGTTTGTTTTAGTATTTTCTCCACTGTTTGTTCAATGAGGGTATCAATACCTATTAATAAATCTGAAAATATGATTAAATACCATTAACTTAGTGATACAAATCACGTCTCTCTGTGTGCAAAGTAGCGACAAATAGTTCTTATTGTCACATTTATTATCAGTACCACAAAATGTTGCGATAAAACTTTAAGTGCATATCGCCAACCCCAACCTGAGGTGTAATTTTTCATACCTTTTTCTAAGTATTTTACTTTACCACAAAGTAGCACATAACTGGGAAGTGGAAGAAAAAATATTAATAAATATATTAAAGCTTTTTCATTAGACAGAATAGTCTAGTCAAAACTCCAGATCGAACTCCAAGGACTGTAAAACTGACATTCACACACAAACCCCCATCCAGTCTGACAGTTATCTTGTAAAGGCAGTTGAACAACAATCTCAGTCTCTCAATGTTCAAACTAATAGCGACTTTAGCAGTAAATGCGGTAAAAGGTGGTTCTCTGAAAAGCACACGGTACTTTTCAGAGGAAAGGAAATTAAATCCTCGTGCCAATTTCCTTCTATTTAACAATCATCAACGACTGTGTGTTGTTATTTCAAATGCAAGATTCAAGGTCTATTTACTGAAATAACGTGGTGGTGCACAGCAATTTTACACTCTTCCCTGTGGTACTTTTCACAGAATATTTGATGTTAAACCATTACGAAAGTTTATTGATTCATTAGCTGAAATAATGAGAGTCAGAACCAACCTCTGGGCTCAGAACAGCAGTGCTGTCACTGGGAATGTCCTCCTCACAGCCTTTGTTGAGGTAACTCTCGGTGTCCTGCTCCACGCTGGCCTCGCTGGAGCAGCGAGGGCTGTCGGATTGCTGCGGGGACGGCGGTCTCCTGACTCCTCGTTCTGAGCGTGAGGACTTGCGTGTGCCTGAGCTCACGTGTTGGTACGGCGGAGGCTGGAGCTCAGTCAGAGAGGAGTCTTTCTTTATCCTCTGAATACTGGCAGCTGGAGTCACCGCAGAGGCGGAGAGGGACAAAAGACGAGGTAACATGAGATGGAATCACTGTTATTTGAGATTTACTGTGCTGTGCAGAAACTTTCATTAGGTGTCCTTTGGACTCTATGGTTGAATGGCTGCCAGAATCAAAATTAAAAAATGTTTTGTCCACAGAGTTACTGTCTGGGTTTGCTGCCAGCTGTCTTAAGTCGCTCATTCATGCTAACTCAGCAGATTTAATGCTTTTTACAATTTTGTTCATCTTATTGATGACTTATCTATTTTTCTATTCCCATCTTTTGAACTAAATATTTATCACCTGTTCTGAGGGCTGTGCTGTAGTTCCTAGCTTTGCCACCAGGCGGCGCGGCCGTTTGTGGGTAGTATTTTTTTCACATATCAAAATATTGTTCGAAAAGCCATTATAATACCGCCTCCTGTAACACAATGTGGATGTAAAGACTACATTTGTAAAGTTTGAAATTTTAGATTTTGAATAGAAAGCATATATTGTTTACTCTAAATTATCTTTGCTGTCCTTTGAGTTTTCTGTATTCATTACCAGCTGCCATCTGACTGGGCGCCAGTTAGCTTAGCTTAGCATAGCATTAAAACCTTTTAGCTAAAAAATAAACACTTTATGGACCAGTGATGCTAATTTGATTCATACTATTTTCATTGTGTATTCAGCCAACAGGATGTATGTGTAATTCAGCAGATAAATATCAGATAAATAATCTTAAGCCTGAGCTAGATTCTACAGAGGTTTACTAATGTCTTCTATCGTAATAAACAAAACAAAAACAAAACTCAAGTTGTTTTTGATTTTTTTTTTTTTTTTTTAGTGAATTTCTTCAGGACTGGAGGCCAAAGCTTAACCTGCATCATGTGTAGTATATTGGCAGATTTATTTTTTTTAATTCAAACGTGCATCTTAAATTAAGTAATTAAAAGCATAAATCTGCGTTTACCTGTCCTGTCATAGAAAATTAGTTTTACTTGTAGATGCTTGGAAAAATATGGCAAATATTAGTAATTATACCAGTAATTACTGGTATAATTACTGATACCAGTAATTATACGATGGTACAACAGTAATTATGCTATGATAAGCTGTAATTACTGCCTGTATTTTCTTTGTTATCTGTGATATGTTTCTTCACAAACTATTCCTCATGTCTCTAAATTATTCTGAACGGGCCGTGTGCCACCTTTAGACTTTAAATACATATTTTTTCTTACCATACTGGTTCAAAACAATGTTGCATAACTAGAGAGAAGACCATATGTGCAGGCTCACCCTGTTCGCTGGAGGCCTCACTGCTGTACCCTCCCTGCTCACTGGACTGTTTGCCTTTGCTCCACGCAGACGTTATGTTCTGCTGGGTCACACCCTCCGGGCTTTTATCTTCTTCGCTGTTTGATACAACTCCATCTGTACAGGACATATGGGCGCTTTAGTTCAAGCGTTACATTTATCTCTTAAGTAATGGTGAATGCAATTCTTAAAGAGGCAAGAAGAAGGAAGGACAACACTCCGAAATGTTAAGAGTGGAAAGTTGAGGAGGGATCCAGAGTTTGGTGTTCACACAGAAGCAGCTCACTCTGACCTTGGTTTCCTTTCTTTTTCTTCTTGCTTTTCTTGCTTCTGTCTTTCTTTTTCTCCACATCTAAGTTTTCCTCAGGTTTCTTTGAATTCTCTTTGTCCTTTTTCTTATCCGACTTCTTCTTTTTGACTTTAGACGATGACCTAGATGGCTCGTCCTCTTCCTCATTGTCTGCTTCTCTCTCCTGCCCCTCTTCGGCTTCCCCGTCTTTTTCCTCCTCCTGTTTTGATGTCTTTGTTTCTATTTCGCTGTCAGCTAAGTAAGAAGTTTTATCGCACTCATCACTTTTTTGCTGAGCAGATATTGGATCTTCACTCTCATTTTTCTTCCTTTCTTGTCCGTCTCTGTCATCTGTCTTCTCAGAAGTTTCATCTTCCTCTTCCTTCCCTCCTTCGTTGGCTTCCTCTCTGTTTCTTTTGGCTTCTGCTTCTTTCTCCAGCTGCCTCTCTCGCCTCTCCTTTCTTCTCTGCTCTCTTTTTTCCTGCATCTCCTTCTCCTCCTTCTTCCTCATCTCTTCTTCTGCCAGCTCGGCCTCCGTCTTTTTAACTCGCCAGCATCCGTCCCTCCATTCCCACTCCAGTTGACTCTGGGAGTTCTGTCCCTCGGTTGCGTCGCTGTTTTGGTTGTTTTTCGACCCGGTCTGGCCAGCGTCTGAGTTTCTCTTCATTTGCCACATGCTTTTATTACTGGCCCTGCCCTCTTGCGAGCCGGAGGCCTGAGCAGCATCCTGGCTCCTGCTGTTTTCCCCCTCCTCTTCCTCCTGCACCTTATTGATGATGGTGGTAACCTGCTCGGTGAGCTGGTCGCTGACGGCATATGTGGCATCGCTGACTGCGTTGGCCAGATCATCCACACGACTGGTGACTGAGTCCAGGATGGAAGAAATGTTGACAGACGGCAGGGTCGGCTGGAAGCTCTTGAAGAAGGCCATCTCTCAGTCGGGGGATTCTATTACACGCTGACCACAGGGTTACCTCATCAGAAGCACTGACACAGACATGTGGTGGTTAGCAGGGTGTGATGCCATCATCACAGTATGTACATGCATTCACCAGCTTGTTGATAATAGATTCTAGCCTACACCGGGTAACTGTTTACTGCTTAGCTGTGAAGCCGAATTTTAAGAAAATTCACATTATCTAAGTTCTCCTTAGTACAAATTTGGCCCTACATATAAGTCTGCTTTCAGTGTTTTTGTTTCATTGTTTTTAATATTTTAAAGTACCAAGCACTGGGCCACCTTTAGTCAAGTGTTTTTGTCAAGTTTCCTATTTGTTAAGAAAGCTGACTCACCTCACTGTAACCAAATCTACCGAATGTCATAAATGAAGTTGATTAATTAATTGATGCCAGGATTTCATGTTATGAACAAATGAGCCCATGATAAATAATTTCCTACTTGTTTTCACCTCTTATGGGAGAAACAAAAGGTTAATTCAACTGAAAACCAAACTAAACCGTAAAGAGTTTGGCTTAGTTTAATTTTTAACTTAAACTTTTTAAGTTAAAATAATAATAATAATAATAATAAGAAGAAGAAGAAGAAGAAGAAGAAGAAGAAGAAGAAGAAACTACAACAGTCATGCGGTTCTTGTGTGCAACCTTTAAACTAATTTGTTGATAGATTTGTTCGCCATATCTATGGGACTTTGAGTACATTTCTTGCCCACAGCTCTCTTCAAAATGACCCCAAAGTTAAGATTCGGTTTTGGACGTTAAATTTTCTTCAGGTGACGCTGAATTGTTGATTTTACATTATGTGTGTCTTTGAAAGAAAATCCTTCTGTCTTGCAAACACTACAACGCAGTTTAGACTTATGAATAATACAGGAGAACTGTTTGGTTGTTGACCACTTCACTTCTGGTATTTTAATTCATTTTAGAGGTTCTGCAAAGTCACTGCTCTTCTATATTTTCTCCGGGTATAGCAGACTATCTTTGCAACTGTAAATATCCCACGCTGCGAGCATTTTTGTAACCAATAACTGAGAGCATTTCTGCTCATATGGCCAGTCTGTCAATGTGTTGAGTACCTTGGTGGGGGTTCTTTTGTCCATTGAGATGCGACAGATTGTCGGGACTCTGCACAGACAGTTTGTTGCTGAGGTAAAGAAAAAACAGAGCCATCAACGCCACGAAGGCTGCAATGGAAGACAAAACACCCAGAAGTTCAGGAGAAACTGTGGAAGAGAAGAGGAGAACAGACAAGAAAAAGAGAAAGACAACGAGAAAAAAAAAAATTAGGAAAATGCAACAATGCAGTAAAAACAAAAATTTACACCAAATCTTTTTAAAGAACCGGAAAATCTTCTTAGAGCTGAGCAATAATAACACACAAAACTGAGTTACTGTAAAAACAATCATCTATTAATAATTTATTATTTAAAAAAAAATAAATAAACAGCTCACACTGAAATAAGTAAACTTTTCAGGCAAAATGGTGAGCATTAGCTGCTGTGAGTTGAATCAACCATTATTCCTCTTACTTCACAGGCAGACATAAGCCGCGGTGGTGTATGTAGGCCATCCACACTTCATGTAACCAAGCAGGCAGCCCTGTGCTATTTTTACTAGAGTCTCAAAGGAGCAGTATCTAACAGAAAAGTATATTCAGTAAAGACCGAAAAATCAGATTGGACCATCATTTAGGAGGCTGTCAGGCAGATTAGATGCAGACTGAGCAGCTTTTTTTTAACCATTGAAAAGAAAGAACAGCTAGTAAGGAAAATACTTTTTAGACAAGATTTATAATAAGAAGTGTAATTTTGTTTAGTTTTTGAAATATATTGAGATATGTAGCTTAAACTCACACTGACGCATTTTAATAATGAAGCAGATTTAAACTCTTCAGGTACAGTATGGAACTATATTGCAGGATTAATGGACAAAAACCTTGGAGCCAATGACAATGGTGTATTTTTATCATTTTCACTGCTGGAAATGCTTTATTCCAGAATTCATTTGCCTATGGAAGTGTTTCTGCAGTTGATGATCTTTATAATTCAGTTTCTTGGCTCAGGAAACTGATTTTATTTCTCTAGAATACTGGTCATTTTGCCTTCTCGTACCAACAGAGCATCGGTTCAGCCTTTGGGACATTTTTTTCTATGTTCTCTATATATTTCATCAAAATTGACAAATTTACCAGAGAACTATGTACTATGGTTTAAAATGAGATTTATTTCGATGAACTGAAGTAGGTAAGAACAAAATAGCCGCATGTTTGCGTGAAATGGATCAACAAATTAGTGAAGGATTGAACCGACTCTAAGACAATTCAGAGCTCTAAGAATTGATGCAATTTGTCCTTGGAAAACACCCCTTCACACATACATACACACACCTGTAATATGAAAATCCGTAAAGAGCTCAGTTTTTTATTAATTAAAATGACTATCTTCAACTTTTTACACCTTTCTGACTCTTTTTTTGTTTCCTACAAAATCCTGCCAAGGATCCTGGAACTGATTTCAGTAAAAAAAAAAAAAAAAAGTCTCAATTGGGGACATTTGTAAAATGCCTTTGAAGAATGAACACCAATTTATTCTTTGCACCTACCTTTGTGCATGTCATGTTATCCCACATAGTCACGCTAAAAGCGTTTTCGTAAATGCAAGCTTTGTTTAAAATCGCTCTGACCCCTCAACATGAGGTTTGTGCCTTAGGAGCACACACACACACTAGACAGCATTTTTACCAGATTTTGCTGAAAATGTAGTATATAATTAAAACAAAATATGTCATTTAACACTGAAGATAAACATTACTTCCAGTCAAACCCACAAATATTCAAATAGAGCATTAAAGCATTTAAAATGTTGCTTCAGGTTCCCAGCGTTGCTGATTAAAATAACTTACGAAGCTTGGTTAACATAAGCAGTCATGTTAGCTCTGGTAATCTTCCTTAAATGCTGTGAAAGTGAACTAAACTTGGCATGGACAGACCTTTCTCACCATAGCAACAGGAAAGACACTGTCTCAGCTTTTTCAAGTAGTACAGCATGCCTGCTGCACCCTGCCAAAAATGACCAATGCTCAATCCTAAAGAATGGCAAAACACAAGTTAGATAATAAAGCGACCGCCTTACCTTATAACTGCAATTGTGTTAAAATCCAGATATAGTTTGTAACTTAACACACAAAGTCATCCAGCTCTGAGGTAACCACGCATGTAATAAATCCCTCACGCTTAATCAGATCCAGTGGTTTTAAGGTTCACGTGTCAACTCTCACTCCCGACTGAGCCGGCATGACCTCTGCAGCGGTGGGCACATCAGCCGTCTGTTAAAAACTTCCAGCTTATGGCACTGGCGCTAAAGAGATGTGATGACGCTTCATACATCACTCTGCTCTGTAAATTTTAACAACAGCTGAATAATTCAAAGGCCCGGGGTAACCTGAGGAGTTCATCGATGTACACTTGAAAGCGGAGGAGTTTATATGATCCCCAACATCTCTTTTGCCAGCAGAGGTGATGCCTCTCTTTCCTTCATAAGTGTTTGTGTTCAGGGTTTTTTTTTTTTTTTTTTGACCTGACAAAGTAAACAAGGAAAACCTAGCTAAATTAGTCTATGAACTGAGATTGAACTTAGGACTCTGAGCATTCAATCAGCTTGCTTTTCCAGCTAATGACTCCTGCAAGCTAACGAACGTGAAAACGCAGCCGCTGAAGCGTTCTGAAATGAATAATGCCCTCAGAGAAATGTGAGCTCGTCTCAGCGAAAATGAAAACTAGGGAGTGTAATTAATCTGTCAGATTTATGCAAAGTTAAAGTAAAAACTAAATACGGGTTCAAGTCTTTGGAGCAGAGGACGGTGCAGTTTAAGGAGCGTGGTTGTTGAGAATACGGAAGCGTTGCTTACACATGGACACCTGGAACGAAACAGAACCTACATGCTGAATAAATCATGCACACACAAAGCTGCCTTCTTTCGCTGAGGCGAACCAAAACTTGATACGGCATACATAATTCACCGAAACACTGTATTATTCTGAGGACAGTAAAAAAAAAAACAAAAAAAAACATTTATTTACAGTAAATGTAGATTTACTGTAAATAAATGTTTTTGAAGACATGGTCTTACCTCGTCTAGCACAGATGAGTTCATGAGCACCACAGTTTCCCCCCCTTCCTGGAAGACACAGAAATAATAATAATAATAATAAAAAGCTAAAGAAACAGGATTACTGATTGAACTGTCAAAACATGTACTTTATTCCCTAGCTGAACGATTTTTTATTTATTTATTTTTTTATTAATCCAAAACAATATTTAAAGACATATTTAATGCACTGCACCTAAAATAACCCTGCCAAGGATCCTGGAAATGATTTTAATGTCATTACAACTTTGCAATCAAAACACATAAAAAAAAATGTATGTACTTTACATGCATAAAATATATTTCAGCAAGTTGAAACTAGTTTTAGAAGTCCAGGGATGCAGCTGGGATATCATTATTCAATGTGTTGTTGTTGTAACCTTCTGAAACTGTATACAAACAGTACACTACTGATTTTCCCTTTCCATTTTTATAGCATTTAACAATATGCAGTTCATAGTAAATAAAGCTTAAACACCATTCTTAAAGTCTGACCCAGTGGTATGCAATTTGATCTCCAGTTCATCCGGTCCACCATGGATTCTTTTTCAAAACATTCTGTCATAACTCACAGCTGCTACATATACTATTTGTAGCACTTCTCAGAAAATGATACACAATGCAGGGAGTTGTCAAACGGTTTTACATGAAGATGTATGCTTTAAAAATAATAACATTTAGTGAATGGAGGTGTTTGGACCCAAATACTGACCCCTTGTGGATATATCCAGGAATGTCAATAATTGTATTTGATAAACCGCAATTATTCACAAAATATTACTTGTTCCTTTACCAGCTAGTGTTCCTTTAACTATGAAACTGACAGTATGCAATATATGGTTAATAAACAATACTTTAATCAGTGTAGCTCTGGATTTCTCATATTTAGCTAGTGTTAAGAATATTAAATTGTTTAGGGTTTCTGTTGCTGTATGACAGTCAGTGAACACTTACTTTTCTTTTTAAATTTGGACAATCCCAAAAAGAAATGGAAGTTTTAATTATCAGACCTCTGGACTTATACTCATCCCAGTCAGCATGGATTCTTGCCTGCTGTGTGTATATCTTAAGTCAAAGTTAAGGCTCTCTTCTCTCATTTGTTGATTTTGAGAAAGTAGTCCAAGCTTGTGAGACTGCAACAGAACAGGCCTTATTTGCACTATGTTCTATTTAGTGCCATAATTATTTGTTTTTGAATCATTAACGTAGTCTTTTACATTTGCAGACTATACAAAGGTCACTGAGGTTAGATAAGCCAACAGATTAAAGCGCTGCACATGTGCATACACAATTTTGTAGTCTTGAACCTCACCGACACTTGGCAGATTCAAGGCCCAGCAAGAGCTTGTGGTTATTTATTTATTGCATTCAGCCAAACTGAGTTATGAGGGTTTTTTTATTTTACAAATATTCAATGTT